GTTTCCAAAACATAATACAGATCTGAACAGAAAAGGGAAAAGATTCAAGAATGGGAGAGAGATGCTAATGAATAAAAGCAGTACCCTCTTTCATCCGTCCATTCATCGTTAGAGGATGGCTACAGGCAGCTTCCTAAGGCTCTTTTTAAGCGATCAGCTGCTACAAAATGTTTTCTCTAGGACATTGTCCTCTTAGTCTTTCACTTAAGCAAACAAACCTCCAGCTACAGTCAGTAAGGGGTCTCCGAGGGAAACGTTTGGCATGGAAAATGGGGATGAAGTCTTGCCAGATGAACACAACTATTAGTGTTAACGAAGGCAAGACTAGTAAATGAGAGTTTCTGGGCCCCACAGCTTGATCTGTTTGCAAAAAAAATCGCATGTACCACTTCGAGTGGAGAGGGGAGGGAGTAAGTTTGTGGCTTTGATGAGAAACAACAGTGAACAACTGTTGCAGAAGAGGAAAACAAAACCAGTGAATGTGTGTCAAACAGTTTGCAAAGTTTCAAATGTTGTAGATGACCAAAGACTTCTGAGACATGTGGTGTGGTGTCCAGATACCTTGGATTTCTACCACGCGATCTTCTTTTAAATTGAAGATCCTTGTAAATAATATACTTTATCTTTAAAATGCATTTGTTTAATTGTTTTCCTTGTCTTCAAAAGTTAAGTTTAAAATTAAACCAAAGCTTTTATTATGGGCAGGGGTTCCCCTAGAAAAGGTACCTCCAGGACTCATTCACACACCCCTGAAAGCCAGCAGGGACGGCTGATACTGCTCTTTGAATGATTTGAGCTTCCTAAACGAGCATTCCCCCCTCTTCCCTCCTGTTGCCCCAGGGAGGTCTTGATTTGTCAGCCAAGGCCTTTCGGCTGGTTCATACCACTTCCTCATCCAGTAATGCAGCTGCTGCAACCGTGGCACTACCTACCTGAAAACTATCCCTTCGTTTTCCCCTTTGCTATTATGTTTAAATGTCTGTCTTTTCTTTTTCAGGCAGGCAAGACATCTCTATAATCAACATAAACGACATCTTTTCTGCTTCTACAACGTCCACCTCATCCCTCCTGTCTGACCCACCACCTATCTTTCTACCATCTTCTGTTTCTGTACCTTCTACTCTTCCATGATCTACGCTTTTTTATCGCACAGCTCTTATCTGCTAGCTCCAACTGGTACAATTACAGTTTCTAGCAATTAGATCCTTCTTCTATTACAGGTGTATTTAGGACACCTATTTTAAATGGTTTCATTTCAGGGTGCTGTTCTCCGCAGCTGAATTCTGTTAATAGAGGTCTGTCGTTACAGTGACCTGCAGAAAGCGCTCTGGTGGATCCTGCTTCTGCCCGACTCTTGGATCTGTTACTGAGATCCCTGCCATACGCCACCTCAGAGTTATCTTGGTCCGGGTAAAAACAGCACATAAGCAAAATCGACTGAAAGGAAGACCGTTTACATCGGCAAGTAGTTTGTCGTAACAGGAGGGGTTCAGGGAGCAGGGAGCAGTTGGTGCTGAAGCCCCCACATTAACTCATCTCCAAGACCTTGTCTGGTCCCCTGGGCTGAACATCTGCACCACACGTGATGTGAGCCTGTCTAGAGGTGCAGCGACTGGCTCAGACCCTTACGTTCCCACTGTGGGCTGGACAATGTAGAGCTTCTTCTGAAATGAGTCTAGTCTGTATTGTATGTATCAAAACTGCCCTGAGAGCCAAACCAATGGGACATCAGTGGACATGATCAGGAGATGATCTGCTTTAAGTCTGCACTATTCCTCTGAAACGAACTGGTAACGGTGATACAGCCAGAAGGGGTTATCGCAGCGCAGAACTCTCCCATTCTGTGTGTAGGGGTTCTACAGAATCACCAAACCTTTCACCTAGTCCCACCACAAGAGCACAGAACAGAAAATGCTGCAATGCTGGTTACGATACAATCTTTACCGCCTGCTTCACATAAGAGCTGGACTACTCCGTCACACATTTATGCATTCATGAGCGTCTTCGGTAGAATAAGAAATGGAGAATGGTAAGTAATTTGAATTTAGGTGGCTTAGCCAACTATTTATGTAAAAGCCAGGAACAGTACTCTTGCCAGCCAAAAATGACAAAAGCATTTTGGACACTAGCTAAACTGCTGAGAAAAAAAGCTTCCGATTTTAGGTAAAATAATAGCGTTTACTAGTTTCTCAAACTGATTGCCCATAACTTACTGTGTATGGAACAACTTTTCAACATCAATATTCCAAGAAAATGCAAATTTTTCATCACATTACTTAAAATAAAACCCAACACTTAGTATGTGAAGTAGGAAGAATGAAGAGAGAATGAGAGAACTTGGTAATTTCTGAGGCGGTACTATCTCTGACTGAACTTAGAATGCAGCTGATCTTTTTTTTTCCTTATGGCAAGCATTTTGGTGACTAAAAAAATACATCCTGCTTCAAATAAAATAAAGTTTCTTGTAAAAGAAAAAAATCTTGTAAAGATACACTTGGGCACTGAGTTTTAAAAATCTTATAATGGATATTAAAAAGAACTGAAGCCAAGAGCCACCGCAAAACAGAAAAAATAAATAGGCCTTTAAGAAAATAAATGGTTTGAACATATCAAAATGCTTTTCTATTTTTCTTTGCAGACTAACATTTCACTGAAATCAATACACATCTTCATTTTTAAAGGGGAAGTGCAACTACCCTTCCAACTGTTCCTTCTTTCTGTGTTAGTTTTTTGTCACTTTCAAAATAAGAGGCTTTGATCAACTACAAAACCTAACAGCAGCAATAACATATAAAAAATAAATTTAAAAAACCTTAGAAGTCATCTTCAGTTCCCTTAGTATTTGAAGAGTGGTCTTGCTTTTTAATTTGAAAAGGTAATATAAGAGAATGACTGAAGGCTGTACAGGTGACAGACTTCAGAATAATCGAGTATCACTCATTACTGCCAGCTTGCACGCCAAAGGACAGTGGTACCTTGAAACAGTACATATGTCCAGCTAACATGTCCCTGGAAATTTAGCTTTAAAATTAATTGGAAATATATTTCCATGTAAAATAAGATAGTGCTATTAAGCAGGCTTAGCAGGCATAAAGTCCATAAAGGAAAGCCCTCCCCACTTTTTCTTCTGTACAGGAAAAACTTTGTATTGCAAGAATGATGCCACACATGCCATTTACCTCTGCCCTTTAAAGGGCAGAGCGAGCTCCCCTAATTTTAAGAGTGTGCTTTTATCATTTGACTGTTTAAGACTTGCCCCTTTCATAAAATTTACGTGGAAAATAAGCACACAGAAAGCGAGGTGGCTTGGCATTAGCAAGGAGATGTAACACTGAGATGCAGCTACATGACTTTGAAAGCTTTTGGTTCTAAAATACGGAACCCCCTTTTGCGAATACAATAAAAACTACAGGTGAGAGAAGTGATCAGTAAGTGCTACTCGATGATCTCCAGTTATGAGAGGCACACCTCTCTCTCTCAAAACTACAGATCAGCGTTTCGGCATTTAGTACTGCGACTAAGTATTTTGAAAAGCTGAGTATCTGATTATATATTCACTAAGCGTGGTTTCTATGTTACTAACCCCAAATTTCGGACCCCAAAGTAATAAAAAGTTAACCATAGGCAAAATTTCCATGGGCTTACAGACTTCTTTTCCTTATCCTGACCAAAGAGCCCATAGCACTGCTTTTACTGTCAAGCACGTTTGCACCACTCTCTCAAACATTTCAGCCTTTCATAATCTTTTTTTCTAAGTATGTAACTATTGATAACTAGGAATCTTATGTGAGAAAATACACGTTGTGCATTGTAGAGAACAAAATAGCTTTTGGTAGTACAAAGGCTTTAACATTACAAAATGTTAAAATACAATGTAGTATTATGTTATCATATATACAAAGTACCATTCAAATATGATTCTTGCGGGTTAAAAAGCCTTATTTTTATGAACAGTCTCAATAAAGATACACCATAATAATTAAGTGTGAGTATTTTTAAGAAACGGAATGATGTGTACAAGAATATCTTAATTCCAAACTTCCACTGTTTTAAGCAGATTTTCGATGTGTAAAAATAAAGAGGGAAGGAGCTCTACATTATTATTTTAATGTTCAGAACTGACAGTGATTGAGATCAATGGTGTTATGTGGCAGCATGAATCAAGCCAAAAGCATGCTTCAGCCTGCAAAACTGCATGCTCGCTACTGTATCTACAATATTGCTCTTCTACCTTTGCCTGTTATAGTAGCTGAAACAATGCCTGTGTTAGTTACTTACTCCTTTTGAAAATGTTTTTAGAAGTAACAGTTTATTAATCAAGGTAGGAAGACATATTTCCACTTTTCAAATCAATGACTAGGACTCATCCCTGCTTCTTAAAAATACAGAGCAAAACTATACAGTAAAGAGATTTCCATGATACAGGTTATGGAACAGGAACTGTGTTTGTATTAACATCCACAAAATTGGCTTAGGTGCTACCAGACTGGTGTCCAAGCAGATTTCAGTTTCCACCCATGCAAGTGGTGCATACCACCGTCTGTCACACCTTTTCCTTCGTCAGATTAAGTTTTGGGCACTGCTGAAGGCTGTTGGAAAGACACAGAAAACCGCTGTCCCTGCTCCGTTCAATTGTGTACACATGTACTGGCTGACATTATGTTCCATATATAAAGATCAGTAAAAATACACGTTGAGTTTCCTTTTAATCTGTTTTTGCTAAACTTTTCTTTCTAACCTTAGAAGACACCAGACTTACGCGACAAATTTAGTGCTATACCTGCACTGAAGCAAATCGTGCGCGAACGCTTGCTAGCCTCCAAGTGAAAATGTCTCAAGTTAGCTTGAGGCTATGGAGGCAGCCACTACATGTTGGACAGACTTTCCAGAAAATGTGAAAGCATCAAACAGGAAGGGTTATTTTATTAAGAAACCAGAGAAAGCAGTTATTTTTTGTGAATCTCTACAGTAACTAGCTGAAACAAGGAACAACAATTCCGTGAAGTTGATGACCATTTGTTTTTTCAACAGTACACAAAATCAACGACAGAGACATTCTGGGATGTGTAAGGAGGACTGCCTTTACTGAAGCAGCCTTTTACTTAAATCATGGAGGTAAGCTGCTTCAGATGTTTATTTCTCTAAGCACTGGTTACCTGAAACATTTTCAGCCATTCCTGAAGGCCCGTCGGTGGCTGCACAGATGTAATACGGCGACGTTGCTGTCCCTGGCCATTGGCTGCCCTCAGGTCCCCAAAAGTAGTAGGTGTGGCAGAGCATGGCACCAGCCCCGTAGTACTACAATACAAATAAAAAATAGTAAGTCACGTGTAAAACATTAAGGAAAATGTAGAAGTCTATTGCAGAAAAAAGAACTCTAGTACAGAAGTTGTAACTATTACTTAAACTCTTAAACTTCGTGCAAAAGTAGTAACATGAAAAACTGTCACTCGCAGGGTCCGTTCCCGCACTTCCATAAATCTGCCCGTTTCTACCACTGCAGCACTAATCCTCCAGCTAAGGGGAAAATGGGGATCACCTTTCAAGGCTGAAAGATTACCACTCTGTTTATAGACAACCTGCTGGCCAATTAAGATGCAGGTTTAAACACGCCTTCCCTTGCCAGAGTACTTCCTTTGCTTCTGGGCTGCATTTGCGCTTTCTGACTGGTGATGTAGGAGCCACAGTTCAGAGTCCCACCTGTATGTGAAATGTGCTACTAGTGCTGCTTCACTGCCAAACAGGAAAAAAAATTAATCTATTTTTAGCTCTTAATATATTTTGTTGACAAAGAGCTAGCAGTATCAAGTGGTCCTAGTGGCTCAGTGGTTTGGAACTGTGCTCTGAAATACTCTATACAGTATTTTAAAGTTTGCGTGTTGGAGTAACAGGAATTAAAGCGTGGGGGGGACTGAGGTGAAGAGGGAAAAGGAGGCAAAGGTGCTCCCTGAATTACAGTTTGATTTTTTCACTCTGACATGTTAAAAACCAGCTCATTCATATGGGATGGAGCTTTTAAAAGAGCTGGGATTAAGCTGCCATTGTAGGAGTCTAAAGAAATACAGCTGACTGGGTTTTCTTTTTTTTTTTTTACATAATGTAAAGTACTTCGTTCACAGAATATCAAAGTTGTATTCCCTAGCAGGAAATTTAGAACTCCAGTAGTGTTTGCACAAGCATGAAAATTTTAAATACAGTGTGGGACTCCAAAAAACCCTTTGCTTTTGTGAATGATAAACCCAGCTTCTTAGGAGGTATGAGCTTCAGGGTTTTACTGACTTTTCAGTGGCTACAGGAATAGCTTCAAGTGATGCAAGTTCCTTTTAATATTTATCTCGTCATAATCTACAAATATTTCACTCTACTCTTCCTTAGTCTGAAGGACAATCATAGCATGTCCTAATATTTACCCAAACTGGTACAGGAAAGTAAAGATTGGTTTGAACGGGCATATCTTTAACTGTTAATTTTACTGAGTAATAACAGAAACAGAAGCTGATACAAAAATACTCTCTCACAGATGAAGGATCCTCTTAATGACATTTATTGACTTTACCTGTTCTATGCAAAGAAAGTTCATCAGGCCTGTCAATTTTAGAGACTGTCTGATCCTAGGGAAAATGGAAACAAGCAGGCACATGAACTGCCTAAATATTATTAAATAAAATATAATCAAAAAGTTTAAAAGAGAAAGGAGGGGATGTTATTTAAGGATTCTTTTATGACAATAATGAATTAAAATCCAAGCAATGTCAATTGACAGTATTTTTAAAATAAAATCTGGTTTACAGCTTACTCATTCTCATCACCTGTACTGAGATCCAGCAGAAGGCCTATCATTCAAGGTCCAAAATAAGGCTCTTAAAGTTGTGTTATATTGGATCTGAGCAATACGTAGCCTTGAGCTTGCCCCAGGAGAACAGTTACACTTTAGTTTCTTCTGCTGTAAGCTGGTGCTCAGTCAAAAACAGCTATTCAAAGCAGGATCTAAAAGCCTCCTTCCTTTGACCTGAGATTAAACCATGAGATTCTTGTTTGTGCGTTATTTTTCCTGTGTGTTTCCATTCCCCTGAAACGGAGAGTCAGGTTTCTGTGGAAGCTGGACAAGTCCAATGGTGCCTTTGAATGTGACAGCTACACTTGACAAGAAGTGTATTTCTTTGTTCCTGAACTATTTACTCTTAGGGGAGTGCGGAGAACGGGGTGTCACCTGAAGAGCTGGTGGCCAACAAGAGCATTCTTCCATTAGACTGATTCAGAAACCCAGAGAAGCTACCAACTGAGTCTTGAGGCGGATACGGAAGCTGCAACATGCTTCTCAGCAAGAAGACATCGCCTCTTGCTCTCTACTGCAGCATTTACACATCTGAAACGCAACCCTGGGACCTGAGTCATCGCCTGATAAACCTCTTGAAGGAAGAGACAGAAAACTTAAGTTACTTTTGAAAGATCTATCAGTGACTGAACACTACGGTAGCGTATTCAGAAGAAATAACGTCCCTGGCCAGTTTTGGGAGGCAAGTGCAATGCTTGTGGGAAGGCTGATTCTTATTACAGGGCAAAATCATAAAACGGTGTAAATTCAAACAGGATAGGAAGCAGCGTGACATCAGAGCACAACTGTTACAGCAACTATGCAGTAACAACTGCAGTTGTAAGGTGTGCATCCAGGGCCCTACTCTACCACCACTTCTCACGTTTAGGGGTGCTTTACCCCACAAAGCACCCGTCCGGAAGAGCAGCGGTTATTTGTGCGACCTGGTGCCGTTTAGGAGTAGTAAGGAAGCAGACTAGAACCTGTAATAATTTTATATTGTGGATATCAAGTATGTGTGTTCCTGTTCAGATCAGATGGTCTGCTCTGCCTACATGAATTTCCATTCTCTCATTCCTGTTACCATAGCAAAGTGATACATTTGATCACAGTTTGTAACAGTCTCAGGGTTTATCATGTCCCTTTTTAAAAATCTGATTGATTTTATTCGCAGGAAT